GCCTCCAGATCACCGGGCCACTGGCCAACAGCCAGCAGATCACCGGGCCTCCAGATCACCAGGCCTCCAGATCACCGGGCCACTGGGCCAACAGCCACCAGATCACCGGGCCTCCAGATCACCGGGCCACTGGGCCAACGGCCACCAGGCGGGGCTGCACTGCAGTGGTGGAGGAGGAGGGTCCCCTCCAATGTGTAGGTGTAGCTTTGGGATTTGGGATCCTCTGGGATCAAACAGTGCAGTATGAAGGGATTCTTGTGATGGACTGATGGATTGATGGTTTCACTCCAAGCCCCGGAGCTGGGGTGGCTGTGACGTCCCCGTGGCTCGAGGTGTGACCCTGCAACAATCTCCACACGCTGCAAGGGTCCTTCTCCCGGGCTCTGGGCCGGTACAGCTTCCTAGCTGCAGTGTGTGGCAGACCAGACCACGGGCCCTCCCCAGAACCCTCCCTGTAACTTTGAGCTCTGGCAAGAGATCTTTCTTTTGTTTCAGCCTTTTTTTTTTTAACGAGTTTTTAAACAAAAGGGACTGCACTCCTGAAAACAGGGGGGAAAAAAACAACATTCTTGCATTTCAAGAAACAAACAAAAATGCATTAAAATGCATGGGGTTTCGGGCTATAACACACTGGTTTTTTTTTTCCTCGTTGGTTTTGAGAACCACCATGGTCTTTCACCACTTCTGAGGCTTAATCTGCCATTGGGATGTCTTACTGACTGCGAGTGTCACTGTTCCCATGTGCCTGGCTGAAGCCCCCGGCTGGACTGCTGGAGGTGGTCTCGGGTGGCCGAGCCCCTTCTCTCTCACTTGCCCGAGTGGGGTTTGTGCAGTGCAGCGACAGCCGCTGGCCACCAGAGGGCGCCTTCTGCGCAATGACGGGCAACACGGGCCAGACGGGCACAGCGGGGCGAAAGCGGGAGAGCTCTTCGGGATTTAATCTCTCCTCGCTCACTTTTCCTGTCCGTCCGTGCAGAAAAAGCCTGGTTTCATACGACCACGCCTTTTAAAGTTCAATTAAAAAAAAAATAACCATGGTTAATGTGGAACATGGCAGGAAAAAAAAAAACTGCAGCCGGCTGTCGGTCTTCCTCTTTATCGAGTAAACTGCTAGTGATGCCGCTAGCTCGCGTGATGTTAATGCCCCTTCGGAATAATTCTGGATCATTACTGCCCATAAACTTTCACATTTGCATACACACTGCCGCGAGACAAAAGCCAACACAGGGAACCGCGGAGCACAGATGAGGGATATCGACCCCTTAAAATAATTATTCACTAAACACCCTTCTCCCCGGCGGGACGGCGGAGAGAGAATTCAATAATGTCCCAACGTCTGGAACAGCCGTTTCAAACGAACGATGCACCTGAAGCCAAACTCCTGCAGTATCAACACAAAAGGCACACCTTCGGGTTCGAGAGCAGAAACGCAAGCTGTCCGAACAGTTTCAGTAAGAACATCTTGGAAAAATAATAATCTTGTGTGACGCTCAGAATAAAATTAAACAAGTGTGTTAAAAACAACCCAAACTAACATTTGCACGAATCTAATCTAAAAGTATTGCAGAATTTATCATGTTCATTTTGTAACATATTATAATGCATGTATTATATAATAATACATATATATATTTAAAGAAAAAACCCAAGGAATTGTTATAGAAATAACAATATGGAGGCGTGGGAGCGCACGCTGTTTGGCCCTGGGTTGGATGCTGGGCGGGAGCACCTATCTGTGTGGAGTTTGCATGTTCTGTCCAGGCCCTGTTTGCTGTCACCCCGGTTTCTTCCCGCCTGCGGGGGACGCGGCCGGGTTGGCTGGGGTG